TGAGCCACCAATAACGCCTCGGTCGTTAGGGACCAAATGGTAAATATTATTGAAACCTGTTTAGGTGGGTTATGTGTAGGTTGATTACGGCTACATTTTAAAAATATTTTAAATATACAGGTTGTCCAGGAAAAGCGTACCATATCAAAGTGATGTATTTTAAAATGGAACACTGCATTTTTGAAATCACCATAAAAAATAGGTGAACTTTATTAAAGGTTCTGCATACCTAGGACTTACTGTTTGTGAGATATTTCAATTTTAGTGAAAATTCAGGCTTAGCGTAGAAATTTAATATTATATTTGTCGTCTGTACAATACAGGGTGTTTGGCAAACACACATTACACATAACACAAAATAGAATAACAAAACAGGAATAAGTATGTTAAGTATTCAACTACACCAAATATGGATGTCCATTCAGATGTTTCTCAAAAACATACAGACCTATTAAATTGTTACCCACTATTCCTGCCCATACATTAATTATGAATCGGTGCTGCTCTTTTGTTAGCACAGTACCGTGCGGATTCTCTTCATCTCATAAATGTAAGTTATGGAAAATAAGAATGTCATTTCTTTTAAAGCCAGTAAACATGTACGATTCTAACATAGTAATTATGTCCAATTAAAAATTTAAAACAAAAAATGGTGGAGGCGCCTCTCGATATGCACTGTTACATAAAATCACAAATATTTCCTAAACTGTTAATTTTACCAAGTTGAACCTAGAGGGTATTATCGTTGGCAAATTCTTCAGGAAACTTATTTTTGATACAGGCAGATTGCGATCGTCTCTAAGCAAAAATTCTGGGTTGTTAACCATTGGGATAGTCTGTCCCTGGCGTTCTGGGCATAATGAAGTTTCACTTACAACATCAAAAATAAGCTGTATGCATGTGTTATCAATCACCAATCATCACCATCATGCTGAAGTTAATAGGTTAGAGACTCTAAATAAAAATATGTTTTTAATTTTCAACTTTGAAGGCTCGTAATTCGTTAACAAAGGTCCATATGAAAACAAAATATATGAAGAACTGATATTATTTTAACCTCATTTATTTGTACTCGACTTTTTTTAATAATGTATGGGACACCCTGTGTCAATGTGTAGATTGAAAGCAAAAGTCCACAGCCCAAAAATAATCAAAATCGAATAATACGTATTCAAATTATTTACAAAATTCAAAAAATTTTCACGAACTTTGAGGCCATCTAGCGGCCAAACGATGAGAGAGATAAAAAAGAAAAGATAAAGAGATTTCGGATATAGGTGAGTTAGCCTAAATCTGCCTATTTTGAGTCCACGAATCTGTGATCTTCCATTGTACATGTTATTCTGGGACACCCTGTATATCAGATCACAGCATATAAATTTTAACCAAGCGTAGTGTGACGGACTAATAAATATATTTCAAACCAGTTTGAAATTAACTACTTTATCTAATAAAAAAACGAAATAATGTCCAAGAAAATACATATATAATAATTCATAATTTTATGTCATTCAGTTTATCTTAAAAATTAGTAGGTATTTTTATCTTTTTTCTTATTGATTAAGTAGCTCTATTTTAAACACTGCAATAATTTTAAAAGTTTGTTTAAAATATTCTGCTATGAAATGTAACAATTCTTAAAATATTTCATACAATATAAATGTAGATGTGCCTATATGGAAAAATCTATTTAAATCTACTAACAAAAAAATATGTAAAATATCTAATAATCTAATAACAAAGTAACAGACAGAATTGCAATAAATAAAGGAATATGACCTGAACATACATATATGAGATTCATTTTAAAATTTCAAATCCAAGGGTATTTGTATCATCTCATAAATTTAAAATTTCATAATGGGATTAATACGTACTTTTATTTAGTTTTTCAATTTCAATAAATAAATATGGAATGCATGATTTAGTGTTTTTATATACAGGGTCGGAAAGTCCCCATGGTTACGTGAGAGCTATAAAGTAAGTCATAGAAATCCGTGCGATAGAGAAGGATGGCTATAATGAAGGCGTCTCATAGTCACCGCCCATTTCGCCCTTCCACAAATAAGATCCACTTCCATTTGTAATTCAGTGACCGGTGGTCATCTTTGTTTTCGTCGTTTGGCTTTTCTTTAATAGATGTCACTACTTATACAATTTCGACTTCGGTATTCCGATATGTTAATACTATCCGTTAACAGAGGGCAGCACAACGCAGAAACAAACTTTTTACAGTAGCTAGTAGATACCTCTGTTTGTAAATCTAGCGACCTTGTTTCCCCTACTGGGAAGTTATTCAAATGGAATATAGTGCTCAGCTGCATTTAAAGTTCATTTAGTTGTTATTTAACTATACTTTTTAAAATGACTTAAAAATCCCAAGAAATAAAGCAAAATTCCCTATTTCCCCAATTCCAAAAAAATCTGTAGATCTGGCATGACTCTTTCTAGGGCTGTGCTCTGTTAACGGATTGTATTAACATATTGGAATACGAAGTCGAAATTGTATAAGTAGTGACATCTATTATAGAAAAGCCAAACGACGAAAACAAAGATGACCACCGGTCGCTGAATTGCAAGTGGAAGTTGGAAGTTATTTGTGGAAGGGCGAAATGGGCGGTGACTATAAGACGCCTTCGTTATAGCCATCCTTCTCTATCGCATGGATTTCTATGACTTACTTTATCGCTCTCACGTAACGGCCGATGAACCATGGGGACTTTCCGACCCTGTATAAGTAAACATGTACTTGAACCAACTACAATGATCCAGTTTGATTTTTAAAAATTACTTCAGGTCTTTTTTTATTAAAAATCTGACTATATAGCCTTAAGTAGCAATTCACATTTCATTAATTTATTTAATTTGTAATACAGAATATTATTTTTTCTAAAAAAAAACACCCTACATCTAAGACCAATTTTAATAGGTACTATATTTTTTTAGGTTTTATGAGGAACGTCTTCCTAAGGTTTATCGACAGAATCCAGAAGCACCCTTCTGAAAAATCAATTTTGCCATGAAACTATAAAAAAAGTGAATGTACACTTTTTGTCAATAACAAACTGTTCTGTCTAAAAACAGCACCATTTTTTATTTTCAGTAGGGCCGTATTAATTTTTTTTTATAATTTAATGAGTCTGAGTCCCCATAACTCCGCCACTGGTTGCTTGCGGGACTTCTACTTCTATGGAAAAATGGTATCTTATAAGAAGATGTGTCATGCCATATTTGGCTTAAATAGCCTTCTTCATTTAGAAGTTATTTAAAAAATTCGAATTTTTTAAAAAATCTTAACGCACTATATTTCGAAAATGAAGCGTCTGGAAAAAAATTTATACTTGATTTTTTTCTTATTTTTTTATGAGGAATATCTCCTTAAAGTTTGTCGACTTAATCCTGAAACACCCTGTAGACACAACTATATTTATGGTTGATCACCAAAACGAACATCTCCACTCGACCGCTCATAGCATAGAAGCAACATCTATTGTTTAGCTATGCAATGTAGTACACGTACATATAATTTACGGTGCATGTAAGCCAGCTCGGATGCCAGTGTGCAATTACAATTTATTTTTCTGAAAATTAACTTTTTCAAAACAATCTATTGACCTAAACTTTATGAGAAATTATCAGTAATCATATTGGCCATTTGGTAAATTAATGTCAGAGTAACGCCAAAAAAAAATTTATTTTTACATATTCTCCCATTTTTTAACTCATTTTTGACCGAAACAGTGGCATTTCACAGAAACAGTTGTCAATTTTTTCTTTTTCAAATTTAGACCAATGCAGACATTTGTCAAACAGACGACACTATTTCTAACAAAACGAATTTTGATTTTGTGTTTTAAATCAATATAAGCGAAACTACAGCTGCAACCGTTTGACACTTCATTTCCCAGGTGTCAATTTCAGCGCTCTTTACCGATGAAAAATGGACAAAAAACAAAAAAAAATTGTATACGCTCCGAGAGTGACTTAATAATATGTTAAAAATTTGGTATATAAATATAATATAAATAATAAAGGTTTCCCTAAAATAAATCATAAAAACTGTCAAATTTTTTGCTTTAAAAAGTAGATATACCCCTTAACAAATGTGATAAATAAAAAATATATAAAATGGAAATAAATTATAGAAGTTGGAGCAATACCGTTTCTTCAAATATTAAACAACTGTATTTCATATGGTATTTTTTTTATACAAATTCAAAAAGATTCCATTTGGTTAATACACAATAGTTATAAGAGATTTTATACTCAGGTGATATTATATTATTCGAAGTATCCTGTTAATAAAAATTTATAAAAATTAAGACATGTCTTTAAATATATGCTAAGGAAAATGATTCATCTCCGACACTGATAATTAACACACAAATACTTTATTATGACAATCTAGGACTAAATCTAGGTAATGAGAAAAATGATTTGTGATTTCAGTGTTTAACTTTCAGTCAGAATACTGAAGAGTACTTTGACATTTAATAAGATAAACACTATAAACAGTTAAAATTATTAGTAATGAATTTGATAAAGGCAACTACTGTGCAGATAGGTCACATCTGTCATATGGAAAATACTGAATATGAAAAATATTATATATCCTAAGATGATCTTATTTATATGAAGTATTTCAACTAGAAGGGCTAACTTATATGGGCTATTTTTTGTTACTTGGAGTTCATACCTCTAATTTATTATTACTGAAATGTTTACCTGTGAATTTATCTTCTATACTAAAAATTCAATATTATATACTGGTTATACTCGAGTGCTCATTAAATTCCATATAAATAACCTCTAAGAAAATAACAATTAATTTATGAAAGAAAAATAAGCGATTAGTAGAAGTGTAGTGGGGCGGGGTTAAGACTGTTTACATTCTTGTTCCATGGCAAACATATACTTGCAAAAACATTAATATTTTGTAGAAAAATTAAAGCCCACTGCAATCTGTTATTAACGATAAGTAAGAATTAACACTAACAAACCTATCATGTTTTTAATTTAATCCTTGAGAGATCGAGGCACCAGCTTAGGTACAATGGAGACTACGTCACCAGGAAGCCGCCGCCACTAACAGGAATAGGTTATTCTCTTCTATACGTAGTTGTACAATGTCACATAATAAGCAGAACTGTTGTGATAAAACTGAACTTATTTAAACACTATAATACATCTCCAATTCACTGATCTTAAATAGACATTAAAACCCTGACTACTTTTTGTCAGACAAATCACTCCCACTTAAGTGCATCTACGCAACGTTGCCGGATTTAAAGAAACTTATAGCCAATGTTGTTAATTTTATCAAAAGGAAACCGTTTATGGCAAATAAATCTTCCGACATTCAAGTAAAAGAGTGTATTAAATTCTACAGACTAAATAAAAATAAATATATTAATATTTAAATATGTACCTATGAATAAATAGAGATAACTCTTCTATGGACTTGGTACCTACATTGTACTTTTAATATGAAAATTCCATGTGCAGTCGTGTTTAATCCGAACGATTTTAAAATAGGAGTAACAATTAAAAATTTTATTTAATCAATGAAATATCTACAACGTGCATTCTATTATCAAAATTAAACAAAAAAAATGAAAGAAAATATTCATATCTTATTTATTTATCTATTTGAATTCGCAAAAATAAGCAACCAGGAGATGGCTCTGTTTTTATTCAATTCGTATAGAAAAGAATTGTGCTATGGCACAATAGCCCTTTTCTTCTATTCGTGATTTCGGAATCAAAACGATCCGATGGAAACTAATCAGGTTGCTAGATTTCGGACCGCCATTATTCCATGGCTAGAAATTGGCCTCAATGATTTGGGATCGAGGGGGATTATCCCTCTTTATCCTGCCTCATCTCGTGTTGGCCTAGACAGCGTTCGTAGGTGGGCCCCATCCGTCGTCTACCCCGACCGCAAATACGGCCGGTGTAGGCGCTTTGTGGGACCTCCTTTTCTCCTGGCTGGGCCCCGCCGGCTAGGGCCCTTTCTTCTGGCGCTCTTCTTGCTTCGCCGGCTCGTCTGTGTATACCCCGGGGGTGGTGTCATGTTTATGTGTGGTATGGTTGGGTAGGGCAGTGCGGGTATGCAGCCTGGGATGCGCTTTGCTAAGGTGGCCCTTAGGGTAGCGCGGGAGGGGAGGGGTAAGGAGGGTAAGGGGTGTGTGTATGTGTGTGTGTGTGTGTGTGTCGTTATCTTCGTTTCTTGATCCTGGCTGTCTCTGAAACAGAAAAGGTTAGCGGGNACACACGCGCCCACACACACGCGCCCACACACACGCGCCCACACACACGCGCCCACACACACGCGCCCACACACACGCGCCCACACACACGCGCCCACACACACGCGCCCACACACACGCGCCCACACACACGCGCCCACACACACGCGCCCACACACACGCGCCCACACACACGCGCCCACACACACGCGCCCACACACACGCGCCCACACACACGCGCCCACACACACGCGCCCACACACACGCGCCCACACACACGCGCCCACACACACGCGCCCACACACACGCGCCCACACACACGCGCCCACACACACGCGCCCACACACACGCGCCCACACACACGCGCCCACACACACGCGCCCACACACACGCGCCCACACACACGCGCCCACACACACGCGCCCACACACACGCGCCCACACACACGCGCCCACACACACGCGCCCACACACACGCGCCCACACACACGCGCCCACACACACGCGCCCACACACACGCGCCCACACACACGCGCCCACACACACGCGCCCACACACACGCGCCCACACACACGCGCCCACACACACGCGCCCACACACACGCGCCCACACACACGCGCCCACACACACGCGCCCACACACACGCGCCCACACACACGCGCCCACACACACGCGCCCACACACACGCGCCCACACACACGCGCCCACACACACGCGCCCACACACACGCGCCCACACACACGCGCCCACACACACGCGCCCACACACACGCGCCCACACACACGCGCCCACACACACGCGCCCACACACACGCGCCCACACACACGCGCCCACACACACGCGCCCACACACACGCGCCCACACACACGCGCCCACACACACGCGCCCACACACACGCGCCCACACACACGCGCCCACACACACGCGCCCACACACACGCGCCCACACACACGCGCCCACACACACGCGCCCACACACACGCGCCCACACACACGCGCCCACACACACGCGCCCACACACACGCGCCCACACACACGCGCCCACACACACGCGCCCACACACACGCGCCCACACACACGCGCCCACACACACGCGCCCACACACACGCGCCCACACACACGCGCCCACACACACGCGCCCACACACACGCGCCCACACACACGCGCCCACACACACGCGCCCACACACACGCGCCCACACACACGCGCCCACACACACGCGCCCACACACACGCGCCCACACACACGCGCCCA